AAACAGCCAGAGCCTGTCTCAAACACAAGAGCCGAGGCAAGGCACTGCAGGCTAAATCATTAGCCGCGGCATTTGCAAAGCTCACAGCTGACAGACAGTCTAAGTCTAATGGCAATCTCAGAGCCGCACAAAGTAACAAAACAAACCATACTCGTCCAGAGCTGGTGTTATGTAAGAACTAACGGCTCAGACTCTGTAGATGTTGAAGATTTTGTGCTTCACAGAGACTGAGCAGCTACGCTGTCTGTTTGTTTGTGTGAAAACAGTTTTCTCTGCAGTTGTCTGTCAGCGTCTCAGTGTGTTAACAGTCGTTTCCACTTCCCCTGGCTGCTATATTTAGCTGTGGTGCTCCGATTTTAAAATTCACAAAAGTGTTAGCGGAGAAATGGTGCCAGGTATGGAGCGAGATCCAACACAGGAAGTGGAAATAAGACCAGGCATGTTTGTTTAAATCCACTCGCTTCAGATACTGTAAGGTGTCACAAAACAAACATGTAGACCGTTTATAGAAAATGGATGGCATTATTACTGTTACAGGTTCTTGTTGTACAGTTAAGCCCTAAAAAAAGGGCAGAAACTGTGGCTTGTTTAGGAAACAACTAACGTACATTCAGGCGTTAATATTATTAATTATTTTATTGTGGTCCGATCGTACAGACCAGTGTTTCCCAAATGGCGTTAATATTATTAATTATTTTATTGAGGTCCGATCGTACAGACCAAACTTTTTCGAGGGACCCATATTTTAAAAGTCACAAACTTTCACGACCTAAGTCAATAGACATTATTCGTAAACTCCTGGGAAACAAGATGCGAGACGACCCAAAAAGAAAATCTCTTGCGACCCACCAGAGGGTCGCGACCCAGTCTTTGGGAAACAGTGGTATAGTCCTAATTATTGTGAACATGATGCATATCCAGTAGGGGGCATTATAAGTGGACATTACTGGGGATGGCTCAGTCCGATACTCAGGATCAGTATCGATACGATATTAGACAGAATTTCACGATACTTCTGATCCGATAACTTAACTTTGCACCTGCTTTTCAAAGGGACACAATTGCCTCAGCTTCCCGCGGCTTTCTGCAAAAAAAAAGTATCGGGTTGATATTGGTGTCTGAAGTATCGGTATCGGACATGAAAATGTTGTAAAGAGCCATCCCTAAACATTACATGTGATTGACAGGTGGATTGTTGAATAGGAGACTTGTGATGTCAGAACACTGGCATCATTATTACAGTAAACATCACAGTTATTACATCGTTCAGTGAAGTTGTTATGATGATGATATTCTGTTGTAAAAATTGTGCAATGGCTTTTAGTTAAGGGGTTCGTGCTTATTTCTTTTCACTGCCAAATGTATTGATTTCTACTCTCTTTCAGACTGGTTGGTTCTCGATTTATGTTTTGTACTTTTGTACGCTGAGAAGAGGGGAGTGAAGAAGCTCTCTTCTCGTCTTCCACCTCGGTTCATATCAGGAGCAGAGATTGTAGGGAGGATCTGGCCAAACAGGCTATCTGATTATGGATAATGGAGGGAGCTCTGTCCCATCTGAAATAATATGGGCCTGAACAAAGCAGGAGGAAGAAATGCCCGTTGAATCAGTCAGGCTGTGCCTGGAACGTGACTGGCAGCAGCTGAAAGGATGAGCGGAGGAGGGGGAGGGGGAGGGAGCGGCAGCTTCATATACTGCAGGCTGTTGCTCAGCTGTATGGAGCTGCGATGTTGGTGGGTGGTGGAGGACGTGGTTCCATAGTGTAGCACGCCTGCCTCGGAAGCAGAGAGTCCTGGGTTTGATTCCCAGAGGAACCACATGCTCGATAACGTTAATCCTCCTCTGTAAGTCGCTTTGGATAAAAGTGTCTGCTAAATGCATAAATGTAACATAATGTAATGGAGGGAGGGGGGGGAGGTTATGTAACAGTGTTATGAACATATGTGTGTTAATGTGAGGCAACCCCCTGTTGCCAACCCCCCCCGATAAAATTATAGTGACATTTGCAGATTGCTCTGTTTATTGAGTGTTTGAGTATTTAGTTTATACAGCGCAGATGGTTGGTGTGATTTTTTATTTTTTTTGTCATTGTCAGGATATTGAAGATATAACAAGGACATTGTGGTGGATTCTGAAATTACAAAAAAATTAAAAGGCATTTTCTAATGGTCAATATATGTTTTTTATTATATTAAAAGTCCTTTAAAGGTCTGTCATTGGTTTTTGAGTAAAGTCATAATAAATCAAAACAGACATGATCAAAAATAACAACACCGAGTATTCACATACAGTATCTCTGTTTTTCTGTCCTGGTGTTAGCTTAGCCTTTTTTGGTAATTACTGTTGACAATGGTCAAATTTACACGGTTTAACCAACAGTCCAAGGTGCATTACATTGGTAATGATATTCTGAGCCTCTCAAGAGACAAATTGCACTTCTTAGCTGTGTTCACACTTAGAGACATTTAAATTGTGTTGATTTATGTAATTTTTCTTCTTCCATACATATAATGTCTTTATGTCGTATATTAAAAACAACTAGTGTTAGCATCGTAGGCATAGTTTTCTCAACCACTAATTCTACTTCAAGTCCCGCTCTTAAGGTCGACCTTATTCCAGCCCGGTGTTTGAGGAGGTCCCGATGGTTTTTGAGTATCTGGACCATTCACTAGATAAACTGTGATGATGATGAAAAGCAAGTGACAAAAATCCACCTTAACTGTTCAACAGGAGTAAATTCCCAAAACGACATAAAAAAAATCCAACCTCATATTTCTTTTCTGTTGGTATGACAGAAGTAAAATTTTATTATCTGTGAATGTCCTCGCAGCTCTACAGAGACAACTATGTGTGTGTGTGTGTGTGTGCAGTTGAGCGTGGCTGAGTGTATTGAACCATGTCACATTGTCAGGCTGTCCCACTGCTTCCACATTTAGTCCCATCATGCCTTCGTGTGTTTATCTGGTCCCCGCGGCCTCCTCCAGGGGCTGTGACTCTTTTGTCTGCTCCCACACACAAGGAAAGAAGCTTATTGCTAACCAGCTGTTTTCTCCTCTCCTTCGTAGCTTGGCTCTCCATCCGGAGCGAGTGCTGGTGGCAACAGGACAGGTGGGAAAGGAGCCGTACATCTGTGTGTGGGACTCCTACACTGTTCAGACCGTGTCCATCCTCAAGGACGTGCACTCACATGGCATCGCCTGCCTGGCCTTTGACCTGGATGGACAGGTACTTTATGTAAAAAAGATCATTGGATAATTTAAGGTTAAGACCCCCCCCCAAAAAAAAAAAATCAGGAGGTTTAGCAGCAGTTTTTCAAAGTACACTCAGAGGCTGCGGGCCTACTGCAGCATCCATAATAAGCTAAAGTTGAAATGAAACATCTGTGTGTTTTCCAGCTGCATTGGTTGGACAGATGCTCCAGACATGCTCTGTGTGGAAGGTTGTAAAGGAAAGCAGGCAGTGTTAGTGCTACTTCCTCACAGTAAATGTAAGGTGAACAAATCTTTAGCAGATCTTTAGTCAGGACAGCATCCTGTCATTGGGAACCAGCAGCTTATACGGTATCCATGAACTCAAACTCAAATTCACAGTGGGCCAAAATTAAAAACTGGGATGAAGTCAGGGGCCAAACTCAATATTTATTGAAAAAATGACTGGAAATGTGCATGTTTTTTCTTCTCTCCAGATCTGTAAAGTAGGCAAACTCAATATTTATTGAAAGATTGACTGGAAATGTGCATGTTTTCTCTTCTCTCCAGATCTGTAAAGTAGAATTTAGAAAATGTATCTGCTATAATATCGTGTATACATTGCTAATACTACAAATCCCACCAGTATATTGTGGCTATATAATGGCGGGCCACCTCTAGGCACTAGCGCCCCCAATCGGCTGTTTCCTGTTGTGGTTTTGAGAGCAACTCTGCATCGTTTCATTTGCATTATATTCATATAATTCTCCCTTCATTCATAATTTCATTCAAAAGTGTCCCATTAATCAAGAGAGAGGAAAAATGGTGAACAGAAACTGAGGTCGGTGTCTCTGCTGATGTTCACCACATCAAGGGATTCATGTGACACATTACAGAAATAATAATACAGATGGGTGGGTTTTTATGTTGAAGTTGTCCAGCAGATCAGTCATGTTTTTAGCCAGTATTTTATAACCAAACCTGTTTAGCAAATTCTTCCACAAACCTTCAGAGACCCTGGAGTCGCACCAAAAGCAAGCACTTTTTCTTTAAAAACCTCCGTCTCCCATGTATTTTCCCTGAATTTCATCATACAAAGCATTTTAGTTTAATTGCATTCTAGACTTCTCTGCTGCCACTCAAAACTCTGCAAGGACTTGAGCGGAGCCTTCTGTCTAAAGCGAAATATTAATTCCTCTGTAGATGAAAGAAAGCACTTTTAAACATGCAAATGAGGCTGGAGAGAGGATTTCCATAAGACAGCTCTCATCTCTTCTGCCCCACTGCTGCTGCTGCTGGCGCTGCTGCCGGCTCCGGCTGCTGCGGCG